GGTGGAACTGGTCTGCGAATTATGCGAGATATCGAAGATTGATCGGATTCTTCCTCTGCGATTGAATGGCGGTGTCCTTGCTGTGCATAGGCAGCTGAGTAAAGAACTGAAAAGTGACATTGAGCAAATAAAGCACGCTCTACTAACCGTGTTTGGAACTGACCGGTTCGTGGCCTACGACCAATTCCAGGCACGGCGTCTTCGACCTGGCGAGACAGTAGACGTATATTTGGCAGAATTAAAGAAGCTCGCCGTTCTAATCGCACTGCTTCCTGAAGAATGGATGACATGTGCCTTCGTTTCTGGATTGCCCAATCATGTTAAGCAGATACTCCGCGCATCATCCAGAATGGAAGACCTGACGCTCAACCAATTGTTGACCAGAGCCCGTGCTGTCATGATCGACAAAAAAGAGGCTGATGGACCAGTGGCCGCAGTTATTCAACCAATTGAAGTCAAAGAAGGTCCAACCCCAGCCATTCGTCACCATGGCGTTGCCACCTGCTATCGGTGCTCTGGGCCGAATCATTTTGCCAGAGACTGCCGCTATCAACGCGAAGAAATGCGCAGCGGGTCGGCGCGAAAGGCACGTCTCGATCTACGATGCTTTCAATGTCATAAAGTAAGTCATATTGCCTCTAAATGCGAGGGAAATGGAATAGGGGACGCGACGTCAGCGCCGGTCTCTTCCCCGCACCGAGCATGAAAGTGGCGCTCCCTGTGATTAAGGTACGCATCAATGGAATAATGCGTACCGCTTTAATAGATTCGGGCTGCTCTCGGTCACTCACCAACGGTTCGATTTGCCGACAGTGGAGCAGATAAAAGATGGACGTACTAACGGTTGATGGAAAGGCTCTCAGAAGCCGGGGAGTTGGAAACATCAAACTCAGTATTAACAACGGTGACCCTGTCACAGTCAGTGTGTTGGTCGTGGACAGCGCATTATTAGGTTTCGATCTGCTCCTTGGGATGGACATTATTAAGGAGCTGGGCGGCGTACGCATTACAGAGGCGAGCGAAGTCAAGTTTTCTGATCCGCCCATCTGTGCTACTTTGAAGATCAACGAGCCCGACTTTAGCACAGAGTTCGACCAAAGGACGAAGACATGGACAGCATTTTGGAAATGGTCGGAAAATAACCCACCAGAAAATCTCCAGAACCGAGTGTCAGAATATTCGGTGCCCAAACGCGTCAAGGAAGAATACCAGCGCGAATTGCAGGTGTGGCTGGATAACGGATGGCTGACTCCGTATCCCGAGGAAGAGCTTGGTCCTCCACAAGGCCTCATCCCGTTGATGGCCGTGGTACAAAAGAACAAGGGAAAGGTGCGCCCTGTACTAGATTATAGAGAACTGAACGAACATGTAGACACATACACGGCTCATGCTGATGTGTGTGCACAAAAATTGAGACAATGGCGAACGAATGGATCCAATGTCTCTGTGATTGACCTTCGAAAGGCCTACTTGCAGGTACGCGTGCACCGGTCACTGTGGCCATTTCAGACGGTGATCCTTAATGGGACGAGGTACTGCTTAACCCAAATGGGATTCGGACTCAATGTGGTGCCGGCCATCATGAAAGCCATCGTGGATGCTGTGCTATCCCAGGATGAGACAATTCGTCAAGCGACGTCAGCCTATATTGACGACATCTACATCAACGAAACCTTAGTACCTGCTTCACAGGTGAGAAAGCATCTTGCTGACTTTGGGCTCGAATGTAAAAACCCAGAACGACTGGAGGATGGTTCTCGGCTTGCAGGTCTGGGGGGAGCACAACATGCTTTACTGGAAACGTGGAAGCGAGCTCCCAGACATTCCCAAACACATGACCCGACGCAGCGTGTTTTCGTTATGTGGAAAGCTGGTGGGACATTTTCCCGTGGGCGGGTGGATCCGCATTGCAACTGCATTTATTAAACGTAGGGTGACTGCTGTCACTTCCGGCTGGGATGACACAACAAATGATGCTCCCCTTAGACACATGATAGTGGAAGTCATTACTAGGGTGCGTCAAGACGACCCCATACGTGGTAAATGGTGCGTTGACGGATGTGAATTTAACGTCTGGGTCGACGCAAGCTCCCTTGCAACGGAGTGGCTCTTGAAGTAGGTGACACTGTTGTGGAAGATGCGTGTTGGTTGCGTCCCGAGAAGGATATGCAACATATCAACCTGTCAGAATTAGACGCCGTTATCAGGGGAGTCATTGCGGCCCTTCAATGGAATGCAAGGTATTGCATTTATTCACGGATTCCACATGCGTGTATAAGTGGATAGCAGACACACTTACGGGGAAGGCTAGGATACGTACAAAGGCTGCGAGTGAGATGCTCATTCGAAGGAGGCTAGACACACTGTTGGTAAGTGAATACCACTTATCCGTAGACATACAGCTGGTCAGATCACAGCAGAACAAGGCCGATACTTTAACAAGGGTACCCCAAAAATGGCTTGACGCTATTAAGAAAGAGGTAGAGCCGGTAGGACATGTCTGTGTAACATCAGCGAGCAACTATAACTCAGATTTTTAAAATCTGTGCATTGCCAAAGCGGACATCGGTGTAAAACGGACCTTATATTTCGTGAGGCAGATTTATCCCTCCGTATCCAAAGCTGCTGTCAGGGCAGTGGTCAGAGGATGCAAGGAGTGTCAGTCCATCGACCCAACACCTGTGCAATGGCAAAAAGGACAAGTGAGTGTAAGCAAGGTGTGGCACCGTGTTGGAATGGACATCACCCATTATAACGGACATCACTATTTAACCCTGATTGACTGTGGCCCAACCCGGTTCACTATTTGGCGGCGTCTGCGTCGACAGGATTCCGCAAGCGTCATTGACCACTTGGGGTCATTGTTCTTTGAATGTGGACCTCCGACGGAACTCCTCACTGACAGCAACACTGCATTCCGCAGTGGACTATTCAAAGATTTTGTGGCTTCGTGGGGAGTACACCTCAGATTTCGCTGCGCGCATGTCCCATCAGGGAATGGCATAATCGAGCAATGTCATCGGAGCATCAAAAGAATCGCTGCTAGGAAGCAGTGTTCCATAATGGAGGCGGTGTATTGGTACAATGTTACTCCGAGAGACAATAATGTATCGCCCTCAACTGTGCCAGCCAACATGATTTATCAGTACAAAGTCCGGCTACGAGGCATTGACGCAACGCGTTCAACTGAACGGATAAACGAACGAGCGCCGTATGACTTGGGCGATCGCATGTGGGTGAAATCTCCACATAGCCAGTGTACAACCCGGTACCGGGTGGGGCATGTCACTGGACTAAGTAACTCGCGTTCTGTGCTGGTTGATGGCATACCAAGACACATAAAGGACTTGCGTCGCTATGTAGGTACAGATATGTCAACAAGTGACACTAGCAGTGAGTGCTCAGAAAGTGAATAAATAATTACCATCGGAGGTAGGGCTAGCACCTCTTCAGATGGTGAAGACTCGGTGCGTGAGGTTGTCAGACCAGAAGAATCCTCAGAAGAAGAATCTTCAGAACATTCTTCAGATGATGAAGACTCTGCGCATGAGGTTTTCAGATCAGAAGAAACCTCAGAATATAACACACAATCTCCTCCAACAGTCGCCCCTCTCCGGAGAAGGTTAAGAATAAAGAGGCCCCGCCCATGAGTGTCACTTATGTGACAGGGGGGAGTGTAGTGAACGAGATAATCAAGTACCCCGGAAAAAAGCTTGTGTTTTGTGTGCGATCTGCCGGGGAGGGATTGCTAAAAGCAGTCAGCAAAACTCTTATAGCGACTTACCTCGTCAACCCAAGCGACAGCATGTCGCGTGTATTCTGTGACGAAAAAAGAAACAAGTCCGTCGCAGGAGTCGCTATAAGAGGATATTAATATGCAAATTACGGAGCATCCTATCCCAGCTGTCGACGAATGGAAAAAATAGGTTCTGCCGATAAAAGCAGTTGGTGTTTTCGACTCGGGGTAAGGAAAATTCAAGATCTTACGCTTCAAGATGGTGTTTGTTTTTCGCTTTACTAGGTTTTCTTCTATCAATAATGGGTAATTAGAAAAATGGCACCTTTATCACAGTCGCCCTCACTACTTTTGTTGTGTTTGTTCTTATCAGCTTAGTCTGATTCTTATTTTCCACTTGTAATTTTTCATTTTCTCACTGAAACCAAGTAGTGTCTTTGTCCCCCCCCTCTCTTTCCATGTGATGAAAATAGAATCATCCGTTATTCATGAGGCATTGACATCATGTGAATGGACAAAGATAGGAATGAGCACAATTATAATAAGGTTATAATGATAATAATACTATGTCACTTCATAGAAATGAATAGATCTTATGCCCGTAGTGCATCTTAAATTTCTTTCTTTTTTTGCTGATATTTGATTACCCACCCGCCCAACTATCTTGGGTCAATCTTGATCTGTCTTGTCTATTATTATTAATAATATAGTATTGTTTTCATGGACCATGTCCATATTATATATATATATATATATACATATATATACACACACACACACACACATACACAGTTTCTTATAACTTCATTCTTTTTCTTTCTCGCTATCTTTTTCTCTTTCCTTTCTTTTCTTTCCCTCTTTCTTTCTTTCATTTTCTTTTTTTCTTTCTTTTTTTCTTTCTTTTTCTCTCTTTCTTTTCTTCCAACTCACTAAATAAAGTAAGCAAGATTTATTTCAATATAACTACAATTATTTATTTATTTGATATGAATGTTAAATCAATTTGTCCAGTTTTTGGAAGTTGGCTAGAGCCAAGAACTTTGACACAAGCTCCAGTATTGTAAAAGAAATTTCACTTGGGAGCCCATACTTCATGGATGGCATTATAATCATTTCAGCCATAGAAACTTTTGTAATTAAACATCCATCCAGTTCCTCGGTTTTTACCTGTACCACTGTATATTGAACTAAAGAAAAAGATATAATTTTAGCTTGCGTGATGACATTTTCTGATTTAGTGTCTCTTTTCATATTTAAATGTTTCTTAGTCTTCTTCACTCTCGCTGATATTCAGGGAAGACATTCTTTCTTCAAGATCAGAGTCTGAACTCGTATTAGCAGTAAGACTCATTCGAAGCTGGTCCCAGTCACTTTTCTTTGTGAAACAGATTGGCGTAAATATTTTAAGTTTGTCTGGGATGCTACAACTCTTGAGGATTATTGGAATGATTGTTTTTTTCATTTTATTTGACTGAAGAAGCAGTAAGTTAAAGATGTAATTCTGATTATAATCTTTAACATATGTTGGTGTTAGGACAATGAGAAGCTTACGAGAATTGTCTATTCCTTTGATGATATTATCATATTGCAACTCGCCAGGTATTAAATCACGGCCTGGAATGAAACCTGAAAAAAAAGAAAAAAAGGAAAGCAGGATTTATATCTGATCCATATTGTTAGTGTTGTTTCTAAAATTACAATTGAGGATGCCAGTTTAATAATAAATCTTTGTAATAACATAAAACAATTGATTTGTTTTTTATGAATTATCAACCCTTTGTGAGCCATTTAAAGCTAAAACACATTGAGGATTATAAAGACAATATTTTGTGCAAATGAATATATTAAACATTTTTTTGAGAATAACAATGATTTTTCTAGATACAAGAACTTCTATTTAACCCATAGTGAGGAGGGAGACCAAGAGATAAATTTCCAGGTCATAATATCAAACAAAGAAATTAAAGAAAAAATGAAATAAATGGCAAAAGCAAAGAACAAATTTGTTTTTAATATCTACTAGTACACAGTAAACATTTAATGAGGGCCCCAGTGTTGAGCTAGGCAAAATGACTTTGGTCAAGTTGTTTCATTATTTATTAGTAGTGAGTTTGATCATTTCTTTGAGTTCAATGCAACATTCGTAATTAAATATTTCAAAAGGGTTGATATGGTAAAGGGATCACCCTAAAGTCACATAGACAACAAATCATCTCGTGATGCACAACAAAGAGAAAAGGTTAGGAATATTCCAACTGTAAAATAAGAATATAAACTAAGCGGTTTGCATAACTAGTAGGATAATTGCAATATCTCATCATAGAATATCAATAAGGATATCTGAAGAACAACTAAGTAGAAATGGTTTAATAAAAACATATATAAGTATCCTAGTCTGAAGAAATGGAGGCATAATTTACAATATGACACCTCTAAATATCAATAAGGATATCTGAAGAACAACTAAGTCAAAATGGTTTAGTAAAAACATAAGTATTCTGGTTTGAATAAATGGAGACATAAGTTACAATATATCATCACCGAAGACCAAAATGGGGACATGAGTTCTATGTAAAAACATTGATGAAAACAATTATGGCTTTTATAATCTAAGTGTTTTGAAATAATGTTGATGTTTCAATGCTAATTATCTATACATTTTCATTGTTATTTTGTTTGCAGTAGAGAAATAATGAGACTTACCTTTAAATTTGATTTCCTCATCATATTCCTCAAGGTTTGGTCGTAACATATTATTTACCCAGTCTTTGTCTTTTTCTGAATGTGATACAAAGAAATCATATTGAAAACTGTTTGATGTTCTCTCTGAATTTTGAATCTCCTTTGGTTCATTTATCTCAGTTTCTTGGTTGTCCTCTTCTTGTAGTTTAATCTGAAATTGTTCCATAAGCACCTTAGATTCCAGATATTCTAATGCTTTGTTGATAAGCTTCTTACAACCCTTCGCATCCCATTGTATCATATTTTGCACTAAAGAAATAATCATTTCAGCGTTTTTTTCTTGCATCATCTGCATGGCAGTTGTTATCCACTCATCGAGACCTCTTTTGCTTGCTTCTTTTAGCATAAAACGGAATTCTGTTAATAAATCTATATCTTTTTCTCTCTCATAAGAAGCCATAAAACACTTGGAAAGTGTTGTAAATACATCAGGAAAATTCTCAGACCATTTGTTCAATTCCAGTGCAGATTTCAAAGACTCGATACCTTTCCTGTATTCTCCAATATACGAGTAACATCTTCCGAGCAGACTGTAAAACTTAGAATCTTTGCTTACATCCCGTTTGTTTAGCGCTTCATGAATATTTTCTAAGGCTTCATATATGAAATCTATATTCTGGCATTTAAATTGATTCTTGTCAGGAATTGATAATTTGTAGCAGATTTGTGCCATCTTATACATACAGGTATCCGTACATTTGGATTGCATACAGACTTTTCCATCGTCGTAAGCATGCTGCAAATTCTTAGTGATTATGATTTGATCAGATTCTTTTTTGATCAGCTCTAAACTATAATAATAATATGCATCTCTTCGGCTCGAATAGGCAAACCAATTAATTTCTGGGTCTTGAATTAGACTGATAGATTTACTATAAATATCTATTGCTTTCAAAAAGTCATGTTTATTACTCCAGTATCGTCCATATATTTGTAATATCATATAGTTATTTGGACAAATGCTTATTGCTTTTTCTCGCAAGGAGTCAAAATCTTGCTCCTTAATTCTCTCTGGTAATTCGTCTTGTTCTATGCAATCTTTCCAAGATGTATACACTTGAACAATATAGATATATGACTTGGCAAGATATATTTTCAGGGGTTCCTCTAAATTTTCAATTGGGGAAAGATTTTCAATCACATCCAAATGGGCTTCAAGTGCTTTTTTGTAATTTTCAAAACGATTCTTTGTGTCATCTCCTCTTCTATTTCTCCACGTATCCAACCTACTTCTGGCAATGGCAAGATTGAGTTTCCAGACCAAAATTTCTTCTGCAGAACATTTCAGCATTTCAAGCATTTTAATTCCTTTCTCAAATTTTGCAACAGCCATTTGTTTGGCATCAATTTTTTTCTCATGTGATGTCTCAGGAATTGTTTTGACCACTTTATAGGTTTCCTCAATCAATTCATTGGCTTTGCTTATCTGTTTGCTCTTTGTTTTAAGTTGTTTCCAAGAGTCTTTCAGAAGAAACTCGGGTGATTTGTTATGGTCGTCTGGTAAATCATATGTTAGAGCGTATGCCTGGCCTAAAATACTTTTGGCCTGCGATAATGGGTCACCTTTGTATAATTCAAGTTGTTGTTTATAATAATCAGAATCTTTCTTGCGGCACATTTTTTTATAGACATAAACTAGGTCAGCAAGGGCATTCAAATCCTTTGGATCTTTTTGAATTAAATCCTCCAATATAGAACGAGCAGTTGATCTTCCTGTGTCCATGTGGAAGAAGAACACTGCTTGTAAATTACGAATTGCTGGCCTGATGTAATTTGGTTCTATCTCGAGATAAAATGTCAGCTGTTTGTTTTCAATGAACAAATAGTGGTTGCTCAGCTTCTTTTCAATATTCAAACCAATATCAAACAAGCCCGGTTTGAATGTCTCCATAGGTTCCGCCATACTGAAAATAGGATATATACAATACATACATACATATATATATATATATTATTAGTGATTAAATGAAAGGAAAAAATCCCATGTTACTGTTTCTCTCTTTTGAAAAGACTTCTTCAGATTAAATAATGTTTCTTGAAAGATTCTGTTAAAAATAAGTATACTATAATAAAAAAAATGCCCAAAACTTAAATAAAAAAAATTCTCCAGTCAAAATCTTTGTGTAGTTATTAAAAGGAAAGACCAAATGACTTTTTGCTATAAAATTTATTTTTTTTTAAATCTTTTTTAAAATCTTTAAAATTCTGGTTAAGAAACTTGTTCTTCTCATTTCAATGTGGAACCATGAATTTGTATGGGAAATTTTATCTTCTTTTTGTGTTTAAAAATATATTGATTTGGAAATTCTTGCAAAAATCAGATAATTGTTGGATTTTAATTAATATATAAATTGTTTTCTTTTTGTCTTTACTTCTGTGTAGCAAGGTATATTGTATTATTCTAGAGGCTATTGTGGAGGAATAATTATGGATGTGAACATGGTTATTTGTAGCTAATTTATTGTGTTGTTTTTTTTTTTAATTATTTACTCATTATTTATTAATGATTGTTTAATTGTTTGTTGTTGTTTCATTTATTCTGAAGATCTTTCAAAGGACGAAATGTGTCAGTTTTTTATCTCACTTTGATATATAGATCTTATATACATCCTATAAGAGAGCATTTCACACACACACACTCACACTCATGGCAGTTTATACATGTGCAAATACATATATGTACAGGCGGACACACAGTGAAAAAATCAATACAACATCAATAAAAAGTGCATAGATTATATTTTTTAACTTAATATAAAAATAACTTGAAATTAAAACAAGGAAGTCAGTAGACAATTACTGACCTCCTGTACCCCCCCCACACACACACATATATATATATATATTGGCATAAAAGATGCTACTCTGATCAAACAATACACTACAATGAAAATGTTTAGTGTCTTGATTGCCAGGTCAGTAATTGGCAGCATATGATTAATGAACTGCTCCAATGTGATTTGCCAAAGTTAGAATTTCGGAGAGGTGAATAATATTCAATGGGTAATGTTGCTAATGCAAGAATGAAATTATTCACAAAGTATGACTGTGAATTTTTGCATGGGAAATGACCTTGTAGAAGATCAGTACTTCCCTTTGTTCATTATTTGATAGAAGGTACCAGCTTAAAAACAATCAGCTGTCATAGAAGACTGAGTTGAAGATCAAATATAAATCAGGAAATGTAGGTTACAAATAATGCGCTAGTGACAAATTATCAAAGCCAGTAAGCCTTTGAGGGTAACCGAGATGCAAGTAAGACAATCAATATTTTAGGCATCTGGTTAAATAGAATCCCAAGGGACAATGTGAGAGGAGTGCGATTTTGGATAGAGACCACCAAGCTAGTCACAGATAATAATTTTATGGCTACAAGTAGCTGAAGAAAAAATAAAGAAATGATCCGATGTTACGTATTGATAGGGGTGGAAGATGCGTGTGTTGCTAAAGGAACAAGATTTTCTTAGGATGGAAAATTTCAAGTGAGAATGAACAATTATGGACCAATTAGGAATAAAAAAAGGCAGATAAAAATTTCTGGCTCTATCATGTCTCATCAATCCATAAAATCTTTGCACAAACTGTCAAACTTTTAAATAATCCCAATGAAATGCTGGAATGGGTTACTGAACGTATTGCATATCTCATGCCAAAAACGAGTGAAACAGATGATCCAAAAAATTATAGACCAATAACATGTCTCTCCACTACGTATAAATTGATCACGTCTGTCCTGACAAACTATATTTATTTTTTCTCAAAGCAAACAACATTATTTTATTGGAACTGGGCTGCAGGAGAGGTCTATATGATTGCAAAGATCAATTACTGATAAACAAAATGATCCTGGAATATTGCAGGAAACAATGTCGAAATCTTAGCAC